GAATAATTTAAATTTCTCGGAATAAAATGAGTTAAATAAAATATTAAAGTTAATGTATAAAAATTATTTTAAATATTTATTTGAAAAAGATATTTTAATCCACTTTTATGATATCTAGTTTTTTTTATATAAATTTAATTTATATATAAATCATTTACAATTAATTAAATTAATAATAAAATTTAATTAGTAAATTTATGGGATTAACTATAAATTATAATTAAAATATTTTATGAATATAAATGATTTAAATAGAAAAATATTTTTTATTTTTAAAAATTTTTTATAAAAATTTAATAATTTATTATGGAATGGATTATTCTAATTTAAATATAATAATAATTTGAAAATTTGATTTAATTAAATAAAAAAATATTTTAAATAAATTAAGTATTTTAATAAATAATGATAGTATAAGTATATTTATATTAATTATATAGAAATTTTTAAATTTAAAATATATATGTATATATAATTAAAGAATTAGGCAAATTTATTTTATTAAATTAAAATTTTAATTTACTTGTTTAACAAAAACATGGTTTTTTGATAATTTAAAATTATTTCTGCTCAGTGATTTTTAAATAGCCGCAGTATATTGACTGTGCAAAGGTAGCATAATGTTTTTTAAATGAAAACTGGAATGAAGGAATTGATGAAATTAAAGCTGTTTCAATTTGTAGATTTAAAATTTAAATTTTAAGTTAAAATTCTTAAAAGAAATTATGGGATGAGAAAACCCTATTGAATTTAATATAATTTTTAAATTTATTTAAGGAAATAAATTTTATTTTAATGATTATATTTTATTGGGAGGATAATTAAATAAAATAAACTTTAATTTAAAGATAATTTTAACATTAATTAATGAAATTTTTATAAAGGATTGATTATTAAATTAAGAAAATTTTTTTTTTTTATAATAATTATTATAAAAATTAATTACCTTAGGGATAACAGCGTAATATTTTTAGAAAGATTATATTAATAAAAATGATTGCGACCTTGATGTTGAATTAAAATAAAAATTAAATGAAGAAGTTTAATATTTTAGTCTGTTCGACTAATAAAATTTTACATGATTTGAGTTCAGATCGGTGTAAGCCAGATCGGTTTCTATCTATAATAAAATTAAGAAAATTTTGTACGAAAGGACTTTTTTCAAATTATATTTTTTTAATGAATAAATTTAATTGATTAAATATATGTAAATAAATAAAATTACTTTGGCAGAATTTAAGTGTATTAAATTTAGAATTTAAATGATGTATAATAGAAAAAAATTATACAAGTAATAATTTGTCAAAATTTAAGATTATATTTTTATAGTGCGTTAAATATATTAAGATTGTTAATTTTGTTATTAATTATATTAGTTGGGGTAGCTTTTTTAACTTTATTGGAACGAAAAATTTTAAGATATGTACAAATTCGTAAAGAACCTAATAAGGTGGGATTTATAAGATTATTTCAATCTTTTAGTGATGCTATTAAATTACTTAATAAAGAATTATTTTATGTATATAAATCTAATTATAATTTTTTTATGTCCTATAATTAGATTTGTTTTAATAATAATATGATTAGTATTTCCTTACATTACTAATATTTATTTTTTAAATTATTCTATTTTATTAATAATTGTTTTATAACTATTAGAGGGTATGTTATAATTTTTATGGGATGATCAGCTAATTCGATTTATTCAAAAATAGGGGCAATACGATCAGTTTCACAAATATTATCATTTAAAGTAAGATTTATTTTAATTGTTTTAGTTATTATATTAATAAGAGAGAGATATTCTTTTTTTGATTTTATTAATTATCAATTTTATTTATGATATATAGTAGTTTTATATCCTTTGTTTATTATATTTTTATTAGGATTTTAGCTGAATTAAATCGAAGTCCTATAGATTTTATCGAAGGTGAGTCAGAATTAGTTTCAGGGTTTAATATTGAATATTTTAGGGGTGGGTTTACATTAATTTTTTATCTGAATATCGAATAATTATTTTTTTTAGATTAATTAGAATTTATATATTTAGAAATTTATTAAAATATTCAATAATTTTAACTTTTATTTTAATTAATATTTTATGTAGAATAGTAATTTTTATACATGGAATACTTCCTCGAATACGATATGATGAATTAATATATTTATGTTGGAAAATTATTTTACCAATAATTTTAGTTTATATTTTATTAATTTTGGATTTAAATTTATATTATAAATAATAATTTAGTAAAAAAAATTAAATGTTTAAAAGTTAATAAAAAATTAAAATTTCTTTAATATGTTTTCAAAACATAAACTTAAATTCAAGATCATTACCTTAATTTAATAGTAATTTATAAAAAATTTAAGTATTAAATATAATTATTTTTAATATTTTAAATTTATTTATAATGATAAATTTTTTAATATTTATTTAAAAATAATTAAATCTCAAATTTTTATTAGGAAAGGTAATAAGATAAAATAAAGAAAGTAACATAATGATAAAATTTGTCTAATAATGATAAAAGGTATTTCAATAGGTTGAGCTCCTGCTCATGTTAATAGAATAAAAATATTAATGAAAATTCAAAATAAATATTGATTTAAAGGATAAAATGATAATGAATTAAATTTTATAGAAATTAGAGGTAAAAAGTATAAGATAATAATTGATGATAATAATGCAATTACACCTCTTAATTTGTTAGGGATAGATCGGAGGATAGCATAAGCATATAGAAAATATCACTCAGGTTTAATATGAATTGAAAATGTATTTTATAAATAAATGAAATATTTATATATATATATAATATATAAGTTTATATATATATATATATATATATATATATATATATATATATATATATACACAGATATGACAACCGTTATCTTGATTTTTTCCGATTATTGATGTTACATTGCGTATAACTCTCATTTCTTTCTCTCTGCTACATAAGTACTTATGACGTGAAAAAACTTACGAGTAACGTATGATGGCTCAATGCAAGAATATTTAATCACGTAAAAAACTTGAGTTCAAATATATTAATATCAATTTTTTTATAATATATTGAAATATAGAAAATCATAGAAATATATTTTTATATAGGCGATAAACTTAAAAATTTGATATTGAAAATATTTTAATTATTTTACAACTACACACACTATAAATATATAAATGCAAAATAATTTCGTAAATAAATTTCAAGTAATAAATCAATTGCACACATGCACACAGCTGGTATGTAGATTTTTATTAAATTTATTTTCTGAATTATTTTACACTTATATATAGTGTATGTAGTAAAAATATTTTCAATATATTAAAAAATTTTTAAATCGCCGAAATATATCTTTTATCAATTTTCTATATTCAATATATATATATATATATATATATATATATATATATATATATATTATAAAAAAATTATATTGATATATTTGAACTCTAATTTACTGGATGATATATACTGAACATCCTTGCATTGATTATACATTACTCAACGTTCTTTCACGTTATAAGTATTTGGAGCAAATTATACAATAGCATCAATAATCAAAAAGAAATCAAGAATAATCAACATATTCCTTATATAATATATATACATATATATGTATATATATATATATATATATATATATATATATATATACATATATATATATATATATATATATATATATATATACGCACATATGTGCATAAGCATATATAAAATTTACAAAAAGTAGGTACTTATTAGCCTTGCTACGCTACTGCCTTCTGCTACGGAAGGCCATTTTCAGGCGGTATCTCGCGAATACCGGCACGATAGAGGAACAAGGAGAACACGTGATTATCGGTCCTTGTCTCTCTACGGTGCGTCCGCGTGAGCAATGCAATAGTGTATGTACGTGTACAGACATGCACCACTACATAAAACCCGAGAATTGGTTTCTCGGCGTTGGCAACACTGAAATCGGAGTTTCGCGTTGTCACCGCGCGAGGTCTCCAACATCAATTCGGAGTTTGGCCGGCCGACCTGTCGACCCTTAATACATATTATTACGTTAAAGTATATCACGACAATATTTTAATTTTTATACATATACGAATATATACGAGAATAATAGATTTTATTTTTATGACAGCGAGACGCGGCGTCTCTGTCATTATTTTGATGAATGCCGTATGTTTACATGCAAGCTGTCGTCGATGTGTCATGTGTCGTGTCGCGGTTGTCATAGCAAAGGAAAAGGGTAAGTTAATTATTTCAGTCGCGAATAAATCTCATAAATTAATATCAAGATTGATCGAGACGACGCTTCCAAAATGCCAAATAATGTCGTTCAGCAATTAATAGCATCGCTTGACATTTGTCATTGTCGTCTCGAACATATTATTTCGACTTCCCTTACTTTCTCAGATACATCATTCTTTATTATTTACTTGCTAAAATTTTGAATGGCACTCATCTAATATATATTGTTCAGTTCATGAAAATGTGATCGAATTCCCGCTCGAATCTCGCGAGCCGTGAAGTTGTCTTGGCGTCCCTTTGGTCCTCTGCATCTTCAGACATTTTCGCGAACGGAATCGGCACGGGCGCGTTTCACGAGGGCTCCTCGTTTCGCGTTACACAATTGTTTAATTACACGTTGCACAGTGCGTCTTATATGTGACAAGTGTCGAAGGAGTCGAACTGAACGACGAGCGATCATGGAGAAGCGCGGAATTGGCGAATAATAATATTATTTGACATTTTTCGAGGCGTCGTCTCGTCAGTCGGAGCCTTGGAATTTTCGATGCATTTTAATGCCTCGTTTCTCGCTTCTTGCTCGATCAAGTAAAGTAATACGATTTCGAGGATCATTGAGATGACTCCTAATTAATTGAGGTAATAATTAATTATTTTTATGATATAATTTTTCAGATTTGTGATCGTCCCGTGACGTCACGACGTGCAACGACGTGAAGTGCTCGTTGCGTCCCTACAAGTTTTCGAGTACGTCACGCATCACGTGATCAATTTTGGCGCAAAATGTATCACGAGCGCAGTGAATGTCGGGAGTTAATCGAGAATGCCGAAAGTGTAACGACGGACGTAAGTATTAATTAGTAATTAACAGTATTCCTCGATGTTTGGTAATCTGCACGTATGTGTGTTGTGTGATCTATCAATTGAAACTCATTGTCTTGTATTTATTATTTGCTCAACCGAAATAGATTACGCACAATCAATCAGCAAAATCGCTGAATAAATCTTGTAAATATTTAAAGTACATAATAATATAATTACTATTATTAGCCTTATAGTATATAAATTCTAATCGTGTTATATAGTTTTTCAATTTTATGTCACTAAATATATCGCAAAATGTATGCGCAAACAGGAATAATGTGTGAAATGCGAGAACAAAAATTGTTAATTAGTGATAGTAATTAGTAGTATATTTTTCAGATTGCCTGGTATCAATGAGAATATTCAATGAGCAACGGAACGACCTGACGAGAAATTGACGGCGAGAACATATTTCTCTCAACCGAAACAGTGCACAATTAGGAATCGTCAAGTGGATCTTGTAATTAATTAAAGTATGATAATATAATTAACACTATTATTAGCCTTGTGTGAATTCCGATCGTGTTACATACACTGAAAAAAAATTTGTTAACTTGACCAAACCTTTCAACTAAGTATTATTTTGTTAATTGAACATATAAAAATATCAAATGAAATGTAACATTAAATCTAACAAAACGTAGACTTAAATACTAATATATGTTCAATAAACAAAATAGTAATTTAGTTGAAAGGTTTAGTTAAGTAATAAATTTTGTTTCAGTGTAGTTTTTCAATTATATGTCACAAAATATATCGCAAAATCTGTGCGCGAGCAAGAATAATATGTAAAATGCGAGGGTAAAAATCGTTAATTAGTGATTGTAATTAATTATATTTTTTTCAGATTGTTTGATATCCATGCGAATGTTCAATGATCAACGGAGCGACCTGACGAGAAATTGGCGGTGAGAACGAATTAACTCGTGAGTAAATAAATTCAGTTATTATATTTGCATGGTTAACTGTTCTGTTTATTTGATGATTGCAATTGCGCTTTAGCGCGCGCGCTTTATATCGTCGTCAATCGCGTTGTCGCAAATTAACCTTTGAATTGAATTGTCGGTCTCTGATATTCGATGTTGATTTATAATTTGAACGTTTGATAATATTAAGAGAATAGTAATTCAGTAGGAGACTAATGTGGACTATATGAATAACAAAACTCATAATAGAGTAAAATAATTCTGGCATATTTCGGAAGAGAAAAAGAATATTTAAAATATTTTAGAATTTTCATATGTTTGAAAAAACAAACATTTTTCAATTTTTATTATTTTGTCATTACATACTGTAACGACTTTTCTATATATGGTCTTCCCCTTTTTAAAACTACAAATTTTTGCTAAATATTTTTTTATAAGCTAGATTTTTTATTTTTAATGAACCTTTTTGTCTGTAAAATTGTTATCAAAAATAACAAACATTAATATTAAATAAGTGCGCGAAACCGGCTTATCGATGTTAAGCATACATAATTGAAGTTATTACAAATATATTAAATATATAATTTCTCCAAATTTATGTAATAATAATAATATAAATCGGATATTGTTGACTTCATATTTACGTATTCTATGTATGATTACGTATTATTACGCGCATTATCTCTAATTTAGCAGAAAATTACAATTCGCATGATAACATTTTTCAGTATTAAAACGGTTAGAAGATTATATAGTATATTTTCTATAACATGATGGAATTATACAAGAGAAAAGAAAGATAAATACTTGGAGATTCGGTTTACTAATGTCACTGCGGTCACAAATATAATCCCGCGACATTTTCCGATATATGATTTAACGGAAATGAGTATTATATCCCGAAAAAATTTAGTTAATTAAATAAGCCGCGTAGAAAATCCAAAGCTCGTAGAAAATCCAAAGATATCAAAATAAATAACATATTTTGAAATGTATTGTAGTAAAAACACGATCTCTCCGCGCTCGTTGTAAATCCATTGCTGATTTTTATCAATAGAGATATTTTTATCACATCTTTTTGCTCTTTTTATTGTCTCGTGTTGAAAGGACGAATTACTGTTGTTCTCTTTATCGAATAACTCAGAAAATTCGTACACAGAGAGAATTTTCTCTTAGAATTTACCTGAAAATCATGGTAATTGTGGGACAATATCGGACAATATAATATTGGAAGAATTTTCTAAGAGTTTCTTTGATTAATATTATCACAATAAAAAATATTAATATTTACCACAATAAGATATAAAATATGTTCGATTATTTTACTGTACATATTGATATTTTTTATTGTGATAAACATTAAAGAAACTTTTATAAAATCCTCCATATTGTCGCACGATTACCATGATTTTCAGGGTAAATTCTAAGAGAAAATTTTCTTCG